AAGTACTTTCTTAGCCATAAAATTAAATTAAATTTCACCAAATAACATTTCATTTTAAGTACATTTTATTATTTACTCTGCTCTGACTATGCAGAAGACGCTACTGGGCACAGCAAAAAAACAAAGAAAAACTATCCACAATTCAATGTGTGTAGGAAATTCTAAATATGTAGTTAATACAAAAAATTGTCCTTTTAAAAAAAAGGACAATTTCTTATAGTTCAGCCTAAAACAGGGGATTAAATAAAAACACCAGAAATGTGAGAAAACAGAGAAAATTAATATTCAAAGGCGATTACAAATTGAGTGAATTCAGAGACAAGGAAGATCACTGTGGGCTGAAGAGCTTATAGGAAGGCTCATGGGGACTTGAGGAAGGTCCCTACGGATAGGTAGGGTGGGTGAAGACTACTCCAGGGGAGCAAACCAAGGGATGGGGGCAAGATCCTGAGAGCAGTTGGAGGAGGTGGTGAGTAGATGAGTTCAACTGAGCCGAGGAATCTGGTCAGAGGTGAATAACGGGTATGTGAGGGGTGACCTCCAAGACTACAGCCAATTTGTAGAACAAACTAGTCTCAAATGAAGCACAGCCCTTTGGTGTGAACCTCAGAAAAATGACACCACCCTCCTCCTCACCCCCTTGATCATTTGATCACTAAATCCTATCTTCTTACTCAAGACGGTTCCAGTCTGTTCAGTTCTCTCCATGCCCACTCCTGACACCTTAGTCTACATCATCACCTAACTACAGTCATCGCTTCTTTTTAAATATGTCTTTATTGGTTTCAGAGAGAGGAAGGGGGAGAGAGCGAGAGAGAGAGAGAGAAACATCAATGATGAGAGAGTCACTGATCAGCTGCCTCCAGCACGACCCCGACTGGGGACTGAGCCTGAAACCTGGGCATTGAACTGCGATCTCCTGGATCCCAGGTCGATGCTCAACCGCTGAGCCATGCCCGGCCGGGCTACAGTAATCACTTCTTAAATGGTCCCTCAACTTCCAATTTCTCCCTCCTCCCCAAAACAAAAAAACCCATTCTCCAAACACCAACAAAAGCATCCCTTTTATGGTAAAATTTGACCAATTAAGCTTTCATGAGCCTCCCATTTCTCTTAGGATAAAAACAAAAATTACCAAGGCCTGTGAGGTGTTTCATGCGATGATGGCCTCTGCCGCCCTAGCCAGCTCCACTCATACTGGGCCCCTGAATCCTTGTCCCAGGCCTGCTCCTCCTCAATACCCCGGGACTTTACTCCTGGACACAAGGGTCAGATTGGTACAGAAAGGCCTGGAAAGCTCATCCATCATGTCTCAACTCAAGGATCCATTCTTTAAGGAAATTTTTGCTGACCTCCTTGATGTAATCACAGCCCCACCAGGCAATGCCTTGCAGCTCTTAATAAAAGGGCAGATTCAGGCAATAATTTGATAAATACGTCTGTCTCCTTAGTCTACTGTAAACTAGTCGGGGATGGAAATGACAGTCAGCTTGCTCATCTCCAGCATCCAGCACAGCATTGCTAGTTTATAACAAAAAAAGTATTCAATAAATGATTGCTGAATGAATGAATGAATGAATGAATGAATGAATGAATGAATGAATGAGTAACCAAACACCTCCCGTGAAACATGACTTGGAAGCTCCAAGTATAACTGGAGTCTCATTGTTTAGCTATGGAGAATAAAGATAATGAAAAAACTATCATTAAATAAGTTTGCCCCAGCTGACCAGTATCCAGTCATTACAGGATACTCTTGTAAAATCTCTTTAGAAACACAAGGAAGGCACAAAGTAAACACGTTACCGATGTTAAATATGGGCCAGCTTCAGTACTCATGAACAGGACAATAAAGTCNGCTGGTTTGACGAAAATCTCTTTAGAAACACAAGGAAGGCACAAAGTAAACACGTTACTGATGTTAAATATGGGCCAGCTTCAGTACTCATGAACAGGACAATAAAGTCTCCTAAAGAAAACTTTGTACTCATATTTACATCAAGTGCAACATACACGTGCACCTCATATGAATTCCGTGGTCTCCACGGAGGAGAGGTTAAAGGCCTGGGGATGCGAATGCCTCCAGTGGCACTGACGGCATGTAGCCAAAGGCAGCGAGGGTGGTTGTGGGGACCTGGCTTCCACTTGCCCACTGAGTGACCTCGGAAAGTCCCCGGACTTCTCCGATTACTAGTTTCTTCATTTGCCAAAAATAGAAATAACAACATCTCCATTATAAGGCGGTGGTTAGAACTACAGAAAGTGGAGCTCCTTTAACGCTGTTGATAGCTATAGAAATATGAGTTATTGTTATGATAGCTGTTGCAAATATTATCATTGGTAATATTATTCGATGTAAAGAGCTTATCATGCTTACTTTAAATCATTTGTCTATATTCACTGACTTAGATCCACTGATGACAAATACTAGACATAAAATTGAAAAAAAGTTTTATTTCCAATGTCACAGTCTTCATTTTTTTAAACCTAATATTATTTAGTGTTTCCTTTTATAAGCACTTTGGTGTATTCATTTAATCCTCAAAACAATTCTATGAGGTGGACAATGTTGTATTTCCCACTTAACAGATGAAAAAACTGAGGCACTGAAAAGTTTAGTAACTTGGCCAAAAACTCCTATCTCGTAATAACAATAAGAACAAATGTTTACATGGTGCTTACCCTGTGCCAGAGCCATTTAAGTGCTTTTCACACACTAATAAAATTTTCCTAATAGATCTAGAAGGCACCTACCATTACCGTCCCAACTTTAAGAGGTAACCGAGGCCCACTGAGGTTAATCAATTTGTCAAGTCACACAGCTGGTAAGTGGCAAAGCAGAGATTTAAAGCCAGGCAGAGCCTCCACTGCTAATCTAATGCTACAGTAACTCTCGTTTATTGGTGGCATTTATCCAGCTCTCTGTTCACCTAGGTGAATTTTCTAGATAAACGTTTGCCACTTTAATAATAAAATATCACTTCATACAGTTTTCTCAAATTAATTAACAATTCGCTACCTTTTATGTGAAATACATTAAATACGATTACTTTTTCCTGATGGCCTAGGGTTAGTGTTATAGCTACTGTGCTTCATCCACTCTGCCTCTAGTTTTAGGAAGGGATTTTTTTCAGTCTCATTTCTAGATATGAACCATTTATTGTCATTTTTGTCACTTTGAATCTGCTGAGGGCTGTGAAGCTAGAGTCATCGATTACAAGGACTCCTAATGAAAGGTTTAAGAATCACTGAGTTGATGCCAACTCTATGGACTTGCATGTCGGACCTTCATTATGACAACTGCAGATTTCAGCTGAGATGAGGGTAAATTTGACCTCTAGATCAGTATGAGTAATACCAAGTGAGAAATCATCTATTTTATACAGTGCTCATTTTCATGTGTTTTCAGTTGTGTGTTTTCTTAATACTCACCCAAGGACATCCTTAGAGAGAGGAGCGGGGGTGGGGGGGGAGAGAGAGAGAGAGAAACATCGATCGGTTGCCTTCCATGCATGTCCCAACCGGGGATGGAACCCAAACCCAGGCATGTGCCCTGACCAGGAATCCAACTGGCAACTTTTTGGTGCACAGGCCGACACTTAAACCAACTGAGCCACTCCAGCCAGGGTCTTGTGTTTTTAGCCATCAAACATGTCAGGCGTGTACATGAGTATGTTTAAAGTTCACTTTCCTAAGGAAGACCAAGTCTTTCAAAAATGTAAGACTCGTTTCCAAATCCAAACCACATTCCTTGTCCTCATACTAACACTTTCTATCCCCGCCCCTCCTGCTTTACTGTTTATCTGTTTACTTGTCTCTTGCAAACTGTGATGTACTCTCTCTGCTTTCCATTTTAAGCTTATGCCATATAATAACAGCTATCATCCTAATGACTATGGCATGAAATATAGACTATGAATTGGAATAGTTTCCAACTACTAAGGGTCGCAAAGTCTGAGTAAAAGCTGTAAATTCAACATTCAGCTCTTACAAGCAGAAGCTTCACTGGCCAGAAGTTATTTCTGCCTTTTCTGGAACTAATAAGGATGCCATGAAAAACAATCGTTTCTCATTTTAGAGATCCATTCAACTTAACGAGGATTTCTTGAACCCCTGCTAAGTGCATGGCACTGTGATAGATACAAGTGGTGAGGAAAACAAACAGGGCCTCTGCCCTCAGGGAGAGAGTCTAGAGGAGGAAGCAGAAAAGTAATCAGGCAGCACACAGAGAATGACCGGGGAGTGAGGGCAGGGCTGGGGGTGGTGCAAAAAGTGGGGTCCACTGTGAGCACAGTGAGCGACAGGTGAGATTAGGATACACGGGGAGAGAATGTGGCCTGTTCTGGGAACAGTATGGAACTGCCGATGGAAGGAGTCTGGATCTGAATTACTGCAGGAAGTGAAATGCCCTTAGATGTTTCTCGGAAAGATCAGTCTAACAATCGTGGGGAAAATCCAATCAGGGAGGTTGGATGGGTGCTGAATTTTAACCAGGGGACTGGTTGGAAACTGCAATATAGTGAGAATGGAGATGGTGCTTGGGAATTGACCTGACAGCTATTAAGAAGGCCTTGGCAATGGATGGGGACGCAGGAGAGGAGGCAGCGTCAAAGATGCTCCCAGAATGTGGATCTGGCAAGTGAATGGGGGGTGCTCCAGACAGGAAATCCAGGGGCAGCCGTCTGGGGAGCGGGGCGAGATGGCGTGTAGGGTGGCACGTGTGTGCACTTCACTGGCAGTTGGACTGGGGGGTCCGGCGCTCAGGGAAGCTGCCAGGCTGGAGGTGGGAGCTTNCACGTCCCCACCGCCCGTCCGCCCGTCCCCGACCCACCTGCTGCGGGAGCGGCTCACAGGGACTCGCCTTCCCGCAACGGCCCGCGGGGCCGGACCCTCGCTCCCGCCGAGGGAGGCTGACTCCGAGGCCTCGCGGATGCTCCGCAAGGACCTGCCCGCGCCTCCCCGGGGACCCTGCTCAAACCGCGCGGGCCCGCCCGACTCACCGCGCCGGAGGGGGCGTCCCTCCTTCAGGCCCGGCTCCAAAGCATCCTCCCCACCGTCTCGGCGGCTGTCGCCCGCTGCTCGGGACCGGAGGGCCGGCGCGCCCTGCCCCCAGCCCCCGCCGGGCCCTTGAACTTCGGGGCCGCTCCCGGCCGCGCCGTCGGTTTCCCAATCAAATCCTCCTCTGGGCCACCAACCGGCGCCGGCCGAGCCAATGCCAACAGGCTTTCCTCTGCCACAGCCAATCAGGGACGGCCGTGCTGTCGCGTGCCCAGCGCCGTAGCCACGGGTGACGCCGCGTCGGCGTTGCCGTAGCAACCGCAGAACGCTCAGGTGGAGCCCGGAGGTGGGGCTGAGAGCTGGCGCTGCAGCCACTCGCGCGGTCTACAGCCTGGGTGCGGGTTTCTGAGCGATCTACAGCCTGGGTGCGGGTTTCTGAGCGATCTACAGCCTGGGTGCGGGTTTCTGAGCGATCTACAGCCTGGGTGCGGGTTTCTGAGCGATCTACAGCCTGGGTGCGGGTTTCTGAGCGATCTACAGCCTGGGTGCGGGTTTCTGAGCGATCTACAGCCTGGGTGCGGGTTTCTGAGCGATCTACAGCCTGGGTGCGGGTTTCTGAGCGATCTACAGCCTGGGTGCGGGTTTCTGAGCGATCTACAGCCTGGGTGCGGGTTTCTGAGCGATCTACAGCCTGGGTGCGGGTTTCTGAGCGATCTACAGCCTGGGTGCGGGTTTCTGAGCGATCTACAGCCTGGGTGCGGGTTTCTGAGCGATCTACAGCCTGGGTGCGGGTTTCTGAGCGATCTACAGCCTGGGTGCGGGTTTGTGAGCGATCTACAGCCTGGGTGCGGGTTTCTGAGCGATCTACAGCCTGGGTGCGGGTTTGTGAGCGATCTACAGCCTGGGTGCGGGTTTCTGAGCGATCTACAGCCTGGGTGCGGGTTTGTGAGCGGTGCGCGTTCTTCTGGACTTGGTGTCCCCAGCCTTTAGCGTTTGAAATGAAATGGGTGTGAAAGCGCAGCTTCGTCTATAGGGTGTCGAGTTTCGAGAATTGCTGCGGACAATTCTCTTCTAAAGCGAGGATTTAGTCTGAAAAGGACCAGTGCTACATGCTAACTAGCTTTTAGGGGAGCATGAAAGCAGCTACTCCGAGCTAGGAGAACACGGTGTTGGGAAAAAGTGACCTGAGATTCGAGATACCTGCAACGAACGGACACACCTATTACTAGTTCGTTTGGTGGCTTCAGGGAAGTCTCCTCGCCTTTTGTGAAATTCTGAAGGTTATTTTTCAACATTTTTAATTGCATTAGAAAAAGCTTTAAAAAGATAACTTCACATTATGTAGCTTTAGAAAAATAAAATACATTGAGCGCTCATTGTGTCCCAAGCACTATTCCAAACGCTCTCATCTCCTTTACTCACATCAGCATCTGGTAGTCGTGCCTGTCATGCCAGTTTAGAGTTGCTCAATGAAGACGCAAGAAATGTCCTAAGCTGCCCACCTTGGCAGAGCTAGTCAGTGATGGAGGCAGGGTAGACCCTACACTTTGAATCCACTGCGCAGCCTTCACCAACAGATGTCCCATCAACTTCAAGTACAGGGCCTGCTCTATCCCCTCTTAATATCACCTAAAATGCCCCCCAGTGTGTCAGTGTGGAGATTATATCCCCCAAAACTTGACTTAAAATGAATACAGTGAACCCTCCCCTGATGTTTCTCTGCTTTGAATAAAAATGAAAGAAGTAGGCTCAGTGGGATAACAACATGTGGGTTTTGTGAAAAAATACATATTTTTTAACTAAAATAGTACGGTAATACTTTGGAAATATAGAAAGGTGAGGCAAAAGCCAAAGTCAGGCAAATGCAGCAGAACTAATTACAATTCAACTTTAGAATCATAAAACCAGTGGGATTAATGTCACCAATCAAAAAACAAAAGTTGACAAGACCAGGCAGCCTGATGCTGAGTAGAAACAGGATTCTCTGCACACATGTAAAATACTAAGCAGTGAGGCAAAGTGACTCCGCTGAGGTTTCTCTTCACTAGAACACTGAATGTGCTTCCCACCTTCCTCCTCCTCAACAAAATATTAAACCAATGTCTGGCCTTCCCTGGGTGTAACTGGGAGCTGTAGAGGTCAAGAGGCACGAAGACACCGGCTCCTCTCCACCTGGGGAGGGTGTGTGCTCTGTACAGTGGCCTCAGCGGGTCCTGCTTGTGGCTTACATGGTAGGGCGCAAACCTGTAAGATTTAACACCCCCTTTTACTGTTTTCTAATACCCGTTACACTACCCTGAATGAATTCACAGATAATGTAAATTACGTAATTCAAAAGTAAACCTGTATAACATAAAGTACAAATAAAAGGAACTTAAATAGGTATTAAAATAGGTATTCAGGATCAACCTAACAAGACAACAAAAACGCTTCCCAAAACTTCTAAAATACCCCCAAAATACTGGTCTAGGACAGAAAAAAGGGGGAAGGGTATTTAAACACATATTTTTCAGCACAGTAATGAGAATGATCTTGTAGAGACCGACAAGAGGAGGCTGAGTACAATTTGAAGGAAAAGCAGAGCTTCAATTGAGCTTTGAATAAAAAGCAGAGAAACAGGATGTTTTCAAAACGGGAATGTTTTCATTTAAAGCAGGGGTGGGGGACCTTTTTTCTGCCAAGGGTCATTTGGTATTTGTATCACTCACGGGCGACACAAAATTATCAACTTAAAAATTAGCAATGAAAAAAGCTCCTAGATTGACTGAAGTTTGAGCCCTGCCTGCAGTTGCCTTGGCAGGGCCAGACCTAATGATTTCGCAGGCCATCTATGGCCCACAGGCTGGACATTTCCCACCCCTGGAAAGCAGAGAGGTAGCAATGTAAAAATCAACCACAGAAAGAACTGATACTCAAGAGCTCAGATACGCCTTAATGAGCAAGACCCAACAAAATAAATAAGATGCTTACCTCCTTTCCTCTCCCCCCCTCCTTAAAAAACTCACAGTCTGTAGATGGAACTATTAAAAATATTTTTTTCCTAAAATAAATGTAATGTAAGTAAAACTTTCAAATGAAATTTCCAAAACCATAAGGCCCTTTCCCCATCTCACTCCCAAAGGTTACTGAATTCATGGTGGGATATCAGCTTTCAGTGCAGAAAATAGGAGGAAGGTGTTACATACGTGCCAAATGGGAAACAAACCAAGACCTGTCATTTGCTGTTATTTTTTTAAATTTCATAATAAAATTAGACATTAAAAACAAATCAAGAGAACAAGCTTTGTTTGTGAGAGTTCATATTAACATGGTCATTACGTCATATAATATGATGTGTGTTCGTTAAAAATCACATTGCAAATTCTATCCTAAATAGATGTGTCTTAAAATAGAGAAAATAATAGACCAGCCTATCTTAAAGGGCTTTAATTTCTTAATTATCAAAAAGTCACTGTGAATACACACTACCCTGTTTCATCTTCCTTTATCACCGTTTTCTCTTTTCTCTTTCTTACTGAAGCGTGTGAATATTCGGAGGCAGGAAACAGAAATCACTTATATTCCCTCATGCCCTATCCCTCCTCATGAGAGAGGTATGCAGCTCTTCTAACAATCAAAGTACAAAGTAAAGATTATCCAACAACTAATTCAGTAGACTTTTATTGCTCTTTCAACTTCAATAACATCTCCAAAAAATAGTTTTCTTCTAACAATTATAAAACAAATTTAAAAGGCAGGATCATTCACATTATAGACTTGGTAGAGACTTGTACTTCATACAAATGAAAAATATCAGTTCTACATTTTAAATGTTTAATTTACTTTGGATTTTATTACAAAAGAAAATATTATCAATGTAATTATAAAAGTCATAAAAATTAGAGCTGTACTGTGAAATTATACCAAGCTATCAAATATTACATAAATGAACAATAAAATTCGATTTCTACTTACTTAAACATAGTAAACATTGGAAGTTAACCCCCTCTACAGAACAAAAAAACAAAAACTTTTAATATTAAAGCAACAAAAGAAAAGCCAACACACACACACACACAAAAAAAAAATCAACCAATGCACAAAAATCTGATTTAAAAAACTGGGTTTTAACAATAACTCTAAGTCAACTGTAAAATCAGTATGTGCTGATAAATTAAATTTTTTAAATGATCTTTAAATGATTCCACTTCCAAATATATGTTTTCCTATTACTGATATTTATATTACCTTTGGAAAAGTTAAAAAAGAACCAACTTTACATTAAATTGCCGAATTTTCCATTCTGAACACTATTTTAAATTTTGAATGTCCTTAAAGTCTTTAAGTTTACTTTCTAAAAAATAAATAACTGTCAGACTAAACCAAAAGACATTTCACATATTTGTACTGCATACGGTAACAATGATGTGATCTACATAAATAAATTTAAAACATTAAATTAAACATTTCTGAATTACAATGTTGCATCAATTCAATGGTTTACACCTCTGAAATCTGAGCACTTTAAAACAGGATTCACATGTAAAACTCTTGAGCACATTTAAAGAACTGATGTACATGATATAATCCTGCAAAGCAAGCAAGCTCTGGTGTCATACCTCAGTTTCAGAAACCATTTTTCTTTTTACAGAATTTTGAACCTGTCTTTGTAAAAGGAAAAAGTTAGAAAGCTATTATATACATACAATAAAATTTAAGTATGTGGAAAAAAAAAGAAATGTTTTTGGATGAAAAACACAGAAGTTAATCTTGAGTGGTAAAGAAATCTCCTTTATAGATACACGCAATAGGACATAAAAAAACAATTGTCCTGCATGTTTTACAGAAGACTTGGCAAATAGGAACATTGACACGCCAACAGCTTTTTTAAACAACTTAAGAGATTTCAGATTTAATAAATCGTTTACACACTCACACACACACACACTCACACACACCCATTAGAAAGACTGTGTGCTTCACTCGCCATATCTAATATTATTAGAGAATATACAGAATCACCCTTTTATCTGAAGGAAGTTAGTTCGCTGTTTTCTCAAAAGCTGCTATTTTAGAGTGAAGTA